AAGTTTACTTCTTTCTCTGTTTACTGCTCTGTCCTTGAGCTTGCCTCCCTTCTTCTGTCTCCACAGTGTTGTACAAAGAAGAAATGGAGGCAGCTCACAGCAGTGCATCACTGGAACCAAATACTGTGCACTCGAGGGAAAAGCAGAATCTGCATCTACACATGATCTGTTTGCATCCCAAATTGCCTTTTGCAAGCTTGCTAGTAATAGTAGATGCACCTCCTCCTTCCTTGCCTTAATTCCATACCAACAAGGTATTTTTCCTTATTTTTTCCTATTTTCTTGGTAGTGCCCCTCTTCTGTCCCTCGAGAGCCTCTTATTAACAGAAATGGTCAAAAATGGTCAAATCCACCCTACAACACAAAAGTCCCATGCCTAAATGAAGCCACTTAAAATTGGGAAGCCACAGTAAAAATTTCAGGTAGTGAAAAAGAAAACATGTCAATATGATGTCAATGAAAAAAAGGTCCCTATCTATTTTTTGAGTAACCTAAGAAGTCACCTAACTAATTTTTGTGGTAGAGGTGACAGATACTAAAAGTGTGGGTTAATCAAATCCCCAATCAGCTATTTGAGTTCCGTTTCCTTAAAGCACTGGTCTTTCAAAGCAAAAAAAACCAGAATACAGACAGATAAAGAAGCAAATAAATCAGAAACTGAGTACTGAAACTCTCATTATTTAAATAACTTACAAAGGACAAGAAAAATCTAGTCCATCATGGCTATGATGAAAACACAAAGCAAATCTTAAACTAGGTCTTCCCTCCATCAGCTCACAAATCCCACTTTTCTCCTTCAGTGAACTCTCCAGATCATCCTGGCCTCTAGTCAGGTAAGGAAGTTTCTCCCTCTTTAGTCCTGGAGGACAGATAGGGCTGAATATTCAGAGATCACTGGCAGAAGATGTACGGATGTAGGAAAGAAATAATTTATTTCCACAAACTCCTCTAATACTTAATCCCTCACAAGTTTTTCCACATCTTTTTCCCTTAAATCTACCTAGCTGATGCTGACACTGAAAAGAGCAGAAACTTGGGGAGGCTAGTAAATAATTTGTCTCTGACTGAAATATGGAAAAATATTCTTTTATCAGATGGCACCAACAGAAGTTTTAAAATGGATGCCAGATCACTTCTGTTCTACAGTTGACAGCTTCCTGTAAAGACGATATCTCAGGAATCAGCCTTTAAGACCTCTACCCTCAGCCTTTTTACAGCTTTCAAAATTCCATAGTTCTGCAGTGTGGGATAGAGTGCTAAATTATGTCTATATCTGAGCTCGTCACCCTATGATCTATCTAGAAGCGATGGAGGGAAACAGGTTCTTCAAAAGTATGATTCACCTTATTCTAAAGCACTTGTCTGGATCCTGAAAGATGGGGCTCAACTAATCACACAGCTGGGGTTATTAACCTGGATTAGTTAAACTTGGGTGAAAGCCACTCCGCTCTTTTTGCAGGGAGTTTACAGAAGTCATACTTCACTATATTTGTTGTTCATCACTGCTAGAGCAGAAATATTATGTTCCATTTTGCAGTCAACCATCTGAAAAGTAGTTTAATGATTCACCTTCCCAGCATTGACAGAGATGGCCAACAGCTGCTGTAGGGGACACAGCACACCTGAGAATTAAAGCTTTTGCCTTTTTCTGTTTCAGCTAATCCTGAAGTGGGCCAGCCATTGGAGAATTCTAAGCAGAACAGCCCACTCTATCTCAAAAACTTCTGACAGAATGCATGTAAGAGAATGTTGTCTCCTGCCTGAAAAAGTAATCTTAGAGCCTGTCTTTACTGACACAGATTTATCAAGCAAGCTTTCCATAATACACTGTTCCATCACACACGAGACACAAAACGCATATACAATTTTTTTGCATACCTAGGTAAATCTTTACCATTTCTGTAAAATAATTTGGATTTCATTTGATCACTAGAGTCTTGAGGACAGTAGAACTTCATCATTCAACTCAAATGTATTTAAAATACATGTAGTAACATCACTAATGTAATTATTTTTTTGGTTTACAGCTAAGCAAAGCTATTCCTCTCATCAAATACATTTCAAAGTTTCTCTTTCTCGTCTTCAACTCTTTCTTGATGATGTGGTCCTCTTTTAAGGAGGACCTTAAACAACAGTCTTCACTTTTATGGAGTGGACAAAACTGTTACTTGATCTTTCTGGCCCTGACAAAAAGATCAGGAAACAAGAACGACAATATCAAATTCTAGCCCATTTTAGGCTCTAAAATAATTTGAAGAGTTAATCCTGGAATCAATCTCTTGATGAAAAATGCTTCACTTCACAGTTCATCGTGAACTTCTTGACTCTTCGTTCACTCATATGAACTATTTTTAATTTTTACTGCAATCTGATTTTGAGCTTTTAATGACTTGGTGATTCAGGACTAAGAACAGAAAGTATCAAGGAAAGCACACTGAAGGCCATGGGAGTCAGCCAACCTCCTCATACAAAAGCCTGATTCTGTGGCAAGAAAGCACTCACATTCTGCATTAATGAACTTCTACTTTTTTTCCATTTCCAGATCCTTGCACCACATTCACTTTTTATTTCAAGTTAAAGTCTTTGAGAAGGAAGCAAAGCAAACTCAATGAAAAAACAAAGCAATATCCTGTTTTAATATAATTAAAGTACTACCTTTCTTAAGCACTATTTTTTCTCCATGATCTAGCATATCAACTTGGGACAAAAAATTATTACAAAAAAAATAATAAAAACATCTCCTCATTTTTTCACAGGACAAAATGAGATTATATGACGAACACAATTAATGGTATTCTTCTCTCTGCAGTCTGAAACACAGGAAAATATTTTACAATACAAGAATAACTGCAACCTTTTTCCTTCAGTAGTTCATCTGAATTCTAAGGAATATTGTGAAGGACAGAATTTAAGGGAAAAAATTTTAAAGAATATTGCTTTTTTCCATAAATGTGATACCACCTATACACTCTTTATTTAGAAGATAATAAATTTGTTGTTTGCCTAATGCACACTTTAAAAAAAAAGGTTGTTTAATATTAAGCAGGAATGTGGCTACAAGAATTTTTCTTGATGAAATAATCACTGGCATATTAAGTTAACCTCCATATTAAACAAAAGCACAGATATTTATATGTCAGAGGAAGGCAGTTCAACCCCTCTATCAAGAAGTTTAATAATCTGTCTCTGGAATGGAAACAATATTGAAAAACTATGCAGCATATTACAAGCCATCTCTCATTTTTAAAATAATAACACCCATTGCCTGCTGAGACATACCAAGCATTACACTGATTTCAGTAAGATCATTTACAGACATGGCATTACCTTAGTTAATAAATTGGTTTTAGATTACATTTTATGCTTTTAGTTTTTTCTAATTGGATTAGCATAGTACTAATACAACTGTGTAGTAGGATTGCTACGTTTTGTTTGCTCTCAAATGATTTTATCAAGGTTACGGAAGAGCTTTAGTAAATTATATATAGAGACAGAAATTTCATAACTGCTGATTTATTATCAAAAGCTAAAATTCCAAGAAGTATTAAATTCACAGAACATGAATGTAATTTTTTAAAGTAGGTACTTTAAAAATCTCCATAGAAATAAAGCAGAATACATATGGTATTTCAGTTTAATCTTCTAAGAGGCTTTGCTAACTTTGGAACTCTTACAAAATGTAAGGGAACTCCACTTTGTGTAGGTATGGTAAAACAGATGATAAAATTCTTACTTCATTGTGGATGTCCTCGCTGGTTTCCTTTTCCACAACATTCAGACTCGGGGTTTGGATATAAAAACATCATTTAGGATGATTTTTTGCACTGTGTTTTTTTTTGCTTGTAAAATGCACTTTGAAGCCCCAAGATCCTCCTAAAATAGTGATTTCCTGTGTAATCACCTTAGAAGGAACACTTGTGTCCCTGGCACGGTGCGTGGAAATCCACTGGGGCTGAGGACTGAAAGAGCTCCCTGGGAAGGCAACTCAGCCTGTGACAATTGTTGGAGTGCAATGAGCAGAGTAGCCAGTTCCACAGTTCTGGCATGGAACCAGAGGGACAGTAAGGGAAAGGTACTTAGTTCTATGCTTGCTCCCTGACATCTGATCCTTCTAGTAATTTTCTAGATTTCAACGTGGAAGTTTTTAGGGAAGTTTTGCAGGCACATTCTTAGGCCAGGAAGGAGAAAAAAAAACATGTTTTCCAAGAAACTAGCTGGTGGAATTCCTGTCTGACTGATAGAGTGTTTTTATGCTGCAAGGGTGATCTTACAATATTCATTGTTAAGGTGCCTAGAGCCCTTGTATATGCATCTTTTTATTATTTAAATATTGAAATAAATAAATCAGCTCACTTAAGCAACCAGCAACCCAGTTTGTTAGAATTCTTTCATTAATTTTGATGGTGCTGAACCCCAGAACTGTTAAAAGACTCCAGAAGAATAAGTCAGTCATAGTCTCTTGTAACTTCTAAATGTAAATACCTCAGCTGTAAGAAATCAAAAGTTATCTAGATTTCTTTCATTCAGTGGGTTTTTAAATAACTAATGGGGTATTAAATGCTTTACCACAGAAGTTGGCACTTGGGCTTGGCTAAATAGTAATTCAAAATTACAAGAACGTGTATGTCGGTACACTAAGCTCCCACCCCAAAGGAGATATTTCACAAAGGCTCAGAAAAAAAGGAGAAGGAAAAAAAAAATAAAATAAAAAAGGCAGCATAATATAATAATTATTGACACAATCTTAACAATAATGTTACAAATATGATGTTATTGGTAAACATACAAATTAGTAAAACCAAGGCAATAAATGCTTTGATACATTTAACATCAGGAGAAATGAAACATCATTATTTAATATCAGCTTCAATTTTTAAATGCCAAGTTCCACTAAAAAGGGTAGGGCCTAGGGAACTTTAAATTTAAATTACTATGATGACTAGAAACAAAGGAAACAATAAACTTATAGATGTTAAAATGCCTTGAAAAAGCCAACTTACGCAGCAGCTTCTTGTTTTGACACCCCTTTGATATTCTTCGCCAAATAATCATCTATGGCATCTTTGTCTTTGATCAAATGAATCCTAAATTTAAATGAAAAAAATTAAAAGAAATACTGTAAGGTGCTTACATAGACTTCTGCAGCATGTATAATATATTATCATTGCCAAGTAGAGCTGAACAATGAAATATTGACAAAGTAATATATCAGACATTCTATAAGCACATACAAATATCTTTTTAATTTTTTGGTCTGTAGCTAGTTCAAATCTTTATTCCTGAAAGAAAACAGAGGCGATATTAGCTTTTAGGGATCTGGTTATCTGCTATTTCTGTCTAAACTAGAAGAAACTGTGTATTAGCTAAATCAGTAATAATTGATTAAGCTATCCATATTTAAACTGTTTCCTTAATCAGAACCATTACATTTTTGTGTTGTTGGACCAAAATGGTCCAATCTATTTCATATTTAGCTTCTTCAAAATTAAAAACAAAGGCAAATCAAGAAAAGAATTCCCAAATCCAACTCAAAATGTTTTCCTTGGTGCAATGCAATCTTTTAAAACTGCTCCTGGCTTTCCACAGTTTAAGCAGCATAGTGCAAAAGGTGCTCCACTGAGGGGATAATCTGTAGGTCATTAAGATAAAGAGCAAATTTCAGGATGCATGGAGGTAGGTTTAAAATTTGAACTGTGCACCATTCACCTTTCACTTCAGCCACCATATCTTTGCATCTCCACTGTGAAACACACAATATGCCTGGAAAATTTATTATGCACTTACTGACCATAAGGTGTATGTAAATAGAATCTGATATCCCAGCTGTACAGGATGTTATCTTTCTAAAAGTAATGTGAATTTATTCTTCTGAGAAAGAGCACAAAGATTGTCTGGTTAATCACTCAAAGATAAAAGAAATTCAGCATTAGTGTTCCACATAAATCCATTACTTTGCTCTTTCTCTGCCTGTATTACACTGCTGTCTCTCATTACAGTGATGAGAATAAACTCTTTTCATAATGTTAGCTAATATAAGTGTCACGCTCCTTATTGCTCTAAGAATACCAAAGACACTTCACCAAGTTCATTTAAATGAAAACAAAATAGCTAAGCAAAGCAGAGATATTTTGACATATCTGTATTTAAAAAAATGTAACAGTGAAAACTTCCCTCACAAATAGCGCCTTTAAATTTGTTCCAGAATTTGCTGCTGCTGAGTGGCACCAGCGGAGGCTTGTGCTTTGAGGCTGCACTTAACACAATCCATAGGAGTTGCTGCTGATCTGGCTAAATGTACACCTTATGGATATTGCCATGAAAATTCACTTATAATCAACACCAAAGTATATTCAATATAAAAATTTTCACACCAGAATAATCAAAATTTAGGAGATCTTTGGAAGAAGGGAGAGAAAGTCAAAACCCCCAAACTGAAACAGTGAACTACAACAGGCAAATTACTATCAGCTTGCAGCAATTTAATCCACACTTTTTAACTGCAGTTAAAAAGCATCTCAAAATGAAACAAAATAAAGCCTGATGCCTTTCCATTGTCTTTGCAAAAGTATCTTAATAAATAATTTTTTAAAAAAATCAGGGGCAAAACTCTTAGGATCACATACAATTTTGAATGCCACCAGCCTTATAGCCAAGTATGAATTTCTGGCTTCTGATTGGTAATGCCCTCAAACTTAAAGAAAACTACAGCCAAGGGGAAAAAAGAAACGTAAGCAAAAACTTTTTACATAAGTTCTGTAATAACCTGTATTGGACTGATGCAACTACAGACATGGTCATCCATCATAAAGAGTTGAGCTTAATAGAAATAACAAATACTCATCTTATGCTGTTATTATCAATGATACTAGTGTAGCAATAACACAGAAAAGATGGGCAGGTGATACTGAGGAAAAAATACAGTAGGAAATTCCATCAACTCAAGAAAAGCATTATAGCTTCCTATATGCAATGAGAATGAAAAACATTAAAATTAATTAATTAATTAATCAGTGTGATGAAAAGAGACTGTGACTTAGAACGGACATCTTTTTACAGAATTGAGATGAGGATGGCATTTGCTAAAAAGCACTGTTTCTTTTGTTCCAGAGGTAGTGACTTCTTTTCCAAGCTTTTTTTTCCTTATTTCTCTAGTGTTTCAGTAATGACTCACTATACTTCGTAAAGTGTACAGAAAGAGTCTATTTCACCTGTAAGTTGGCTCCTATTTAATTTTAAATCACTCAGATATTAATGAGAAATGCTTTTTAATCAAATGGACACCTTTTTTGTTCTCTTTTAATTGTGGAACTTTCCTAAGAGAGAATTTCCTTGCCTACGATGTTTGTAGTTTTAAATATTGTGAAAGAGCAAACATAATTTGTCACCCTGGCACAGCTGTTTGAAGCTGTTCACAGCAAAAATGGTGCTTTGAAAGAGAAGAGGTACCTACCTTGCAAACTCTAATGGGGGGCAAAGAGGCTGCTCTATAAACTTGGGATGTTCCCCTGGGCTTTGGAGGACCGCTTGAGGCAACATGTTCAGTTTAACTAAAACAAACAAATAAAATCAATGTTCCTTGAAATAATCCCTTCACAGCAATACAGCTTCTTTTCCTTCTTGTGCTGCTTCCCAGCCCACTCTCTGTTATTTCCAGTGCTTTAAAGCCTAACTCCAGTTCCACACAAATTGCAGCATTGCCTCAGTAGGACATAACACAAAGGAATGGTCATTAATTAACTTTCCAGGGATTTCTCTCTTTCACTGAGGTGCTTTTGATTTCCGTAGGGACAGCTGATTCAGGAACCATACCTGCGTGGGATTCCCTGTGCTTTTTCAAGCTATCTAAGTCCAAGTATTGATAATATTTTGAGTTAATACACAATGTGGACAAATAGGAAGCAGAGCAACAACAGGTCCTGTGTTAATGTTCAAAATTCTACATAATCACAATAGAAACAAGCTTTTGAAGGAAAAAAAAATGTAAGTAATGCTATACTTACAACATAGGGCTTTACTTAAAACAAAAGCCGAAAGCCCCACAGTTATTTAGAATCATCTAGCATGTCATTTTGAAGTACATAAATGCTAATAGGACTTTTTTGTCATATAGAGCTACTGTGTTTTTTCCCCAAGTATTCAGTCTACACTTCCTACCATTAAAGTTTCAGCTGCCAGTTCCTTCATTTTGCATGTCTGTGATCTGAGGACGTTAGCAGCAGGAGCACCCTTACTTTTAAATTTGGTTTAATGTAGGTATTGCATGCCCTGCTGGTAGGCCTGAAGGCATAAACTTTTAATAGGGATGGAAAAACAGAATATAATAAAAGGGGGGCAAAGAATTTAACTATTTGCTACATTTAGTGAAATGAAATTTATTTTTTGGGAAACAAGTATTAGATATGAATCAATTTGTTACTGAATGATCAGCACCAGACTAGTAGATATTTTATATATTAGCCTTTCTGGGATCAAAAGCCATTTCATTGATGCAGTATTTTGCTGTGGTTATAGTGATGTAATTTTTTAAATTGTGTTACTTAGAACTGAGTAATGAGGAGAATTATAGTTTGAAAAGATGACAGGATAGGATATTTCTCTTAAGTAATTTTTCTGGGGCCTCACACTAATGATAACATTTTTTACAGAAAGAAAAGAGATATTACTTATACATAAACTGGTCTGCAATTACAGGCAGCAAAATTTAACAGATGTGTGTCCTAGAAAATAAAAAATCAATAGAACAAAAAACATATGGGTAATTCACCACTATAAAAGAGCCACTTCTCACAGAGAATGACACGTTTGTATACAAAAACTATATACAAAGGAAAACCCCTTTTTTGGAAGATGCTATGTGAGAAATAGTAATTAAACTTTGAAACATCAATATTGAAGCCCAGAGAAGATGCAAAGCTTTCTACAAGCTTCTTTGTTGTGAGGTATCAAGTTGGAAAATGAATATAGCTATGCCTTAGTGGAGGCTGATGAATTTGGCAAGGCAGGGGGGCTGACTGCAGCTATGGGGCAGAAAAGGAGAAGCAGCTGAAAGGAGCTGCTCCCATATAGCCATTGCAGCCATGGAAAGCTATTGATTTGGGGACTGCCACAAAACACCTGGCTGGAGCACACGACAAGTCCTTGCTGGCTCACATGCCCCACGTTCCCAATCCACAGAAATCAAGTCTATGGGAAAAGAGGGTATCAGGCATACACGTCTCACATGAGGCAAATCTGCAGACATTTTTCTTAGCATGTTTCTGCCTCACAAGGACTAAAATACAACCCTGGCTCCTATTTCAAACTCAAAGCTTGGGAGAGGAAAAAAAATGAAAACCCAAACTGCTTCATAATAATGCCAATTGAACTTTTACTTTAGATGTGGGAGATTGTTTTCAGAGTGAAATGGAGGGTGTCTTTCCCTCATTTCCAGGGCAACTGATCCTTGCAGGTAAATTACAACCACAGACACATGACAGAAGGCACCAGCAGCACATCCTTCTGAAACCAATGCTATTCCAGTCGTGTAAATTTCATTGCTGGTCATTTAAAGATCACTTTACATGTTGCTTCTTTATTATCAAGTCCAAGCCACTTCTCATTTACTTAATCAAACACCCACAGAACTCAGCAAAAGATGAGGTGGTGCAGTTTGTTTCTAAAGAAGTGCTTCACTTAGTCCCATAATGGAGGGACTCTCCCCACGGACTGTAAGTGCTCCAAGGTGCACTGAAGGCGAGGGTAAAACACCAGCTGATAGCAATGGTGCCTTTCCCGGCACCTTTTGGGAAACCTCTTGGCTGCCTCTTCCTACACATTTTCTGAGGTATTAACTGGAGGCTGAGGATTTCCCAGGGAGGGAAGGAGGTGAGGATTTTCCAGGGATGGATACAACACACGGCTGTCTTTGTGGGCAAATCTGCTGCTACTTGGCAACTCGTAAGATAAAAGGACATCAGTATGTGACAGGACAGACTGCCACGCTGCTTTATTACACTGAAAGTAATAGAGTAAATACAAAAATAGAAACTAACAATAAAATGTTGAAATCTACAGCCAGCTTGATAGATGCTCTTTGTTCCAAGTGACCTGGACGAGGTCACGGCCCCAGCCTGACCCGTATCCTCAATGCCCTCTGTCCCTGCGGCTCTGGGAATTACAGCCGCCCTCCGCTGCTGCCTGGCTGTCACCAACCACCGCCCAGGGACGCTTCACCTATCCCGCTACACACCCTGACCCTTGGCTCCGGTAAGGATAAAATCAGCCCCACCAGCCGCAGTTCCCCGGGGCACAGACCTGGGCCCATGGCGCGGCCGCAGGACGAGCTCTCCGCCGGCCCGGCCCCTCACGGGACGC